AGGGATAAATGAAGGCTGCAAACACAACAGCAGGGAAGGAGGACGAGGAAGGAGAGGAAGGAGGTTGCTTTCCCTCATGTGGGGAAACATTTCACTAAGACCAGAAACCTAAAGAGTGGACAGATTAATGAGTACTGCTAGTTATTCCCCTACAGACTAGTCCACAGGGTCTGCACATTCAAGGGTAGCTTGTACATGATATTGGCTCAATTCCCCCTCAGACAAGGATGCTGTGAAACACCAGCCCTGGATCCTTGATAACTAGTGTTTCCTGGAGATTAACCTGTGGTAGCTGGCTTACCTCCTCCTGTGCTGGACATAGACCCTTCATGCTGGGGAAGTGGGCACACTGCCATCTGGACTTCCTGCAGAGCTCCTACTTCTGATGTCTCAGGCCACACCTGAAAGTTACCACCTTGTGTCTCCTGATGTAGAGAGTTCATCACTTTAAAGAGGACGGACATGTGAAGGGACTTTAGGGGACCTTGAAATATGTAGCACTTAAGCCAAAGCCATGGTGCATCCCTCTCTCCATGGCTCCTCCCCTCTTCTCTTCCATCCTCTCCAAATTCCTCCTTAGCCAATTCTTTTCTGATGCTTCTAAAATCTCTGGTTCTCATCTTTTGCTCTCCAGCTCCAGCTCAACTATGTCACTTTATTTAGAAGTGGATTTGTACTGTGGCACTGGTGATTTTGAAGTCAGAGTTTTAAATTTGCATGTTCATGCAGTGAAACAAGTTTATGTGCCATTTGCAAAGTCCAGATGACAGTATCAAATGCATAAGTAGTGTAGTAGATACCCGAGCCCTGGAACCAGACCAGTGACTCTGCCATGAACACTAACAAGTAAAGACTGTGACTCACTCTGTCACACTCGATCACTGCAGCTTCCACAAGGAAACTGTGAAGTCTCTCCTTTTTAAAATTTATCTTACTTTCCCTTTTTATTTTTAAATTTTGTTTTATTTGGGCAGGTGTTAGTGTAGAGGACAGGTGTGAAGAGATGGGATCGTGAATGTGATCAAGATACTGATATAAAAGGCATAGAATGAATACATAAATGAGTAAATAACTCAGTAGAGAGATAAGTAAATAAATAGATGAAATAAATAAATGAAGAGCATACAGGGTAAAAAGCACATTCTCCTCCTCAAGAGTGAATGAAATTTAGACATTTTTCAGAAAACAGATACAGCTCATGTCTTGTTTGTTGACCTTGACCAGAAGTCCTCCCTATGCTGATTCCCTGCCAGTTTCCTTCTTCCTGAATGCTCACCAGAGGTTCTTTGTTTGTGTATCCTGCATTTGTGTAAACAGCTTAGATCCAAGAATGTAGAACATTGGGTAGTGAACTTTGCCCTCCAGGGTTCCTCCATTGTTCTGTAAGCCTGTATTTAAGGTCTCCTCCCTCTTTGAATAAATGGCATTTTGCATTCTGCTGAGGCAAATGACCTGCTGTCTCTCACCTCTGTTTTTTGATCCACAGCCCCTCACTAGGACATGGTGAACAGGTGGTGGTAGTGCAGGCGTTACTGCTACAAATGGAGGTTCCACCAAGATCCGAGAAAGAAGGGATGTCACAGATGGACACCTGAAAGTGAGGTTGGCCAGCATTTTAAAGAAAAGAGAAGGTAAGGGTAAATTTTCATGGGTGCAATAGGGCACCACCAGTAAAGACAGGACAGTTAAAAATTTTAAATCTTCTCAATAGAGAAGAGGGAAGGGAAGGGTATTTTCCAATAGAAAAGGGAGAAATTTTTAATTAAAAAAAAAGGATTTTCTGTGTAAAAAGGGGGAAATTTTTGAAACTACACCTAAAGATTGTGAGGCCCTGTAGAGAAAGGATGAAAGAAAGAGAAAAGCCTCTTCCCAAAGGTAATGGAGGAAGAAAGGGCTCTTTCCAATTAAAAAAAAAACTTCAGGATAAGCTAAAACTCTGAGCTCTTTCTGCCTTCCAGTGCAGAACTGCAACATCTGAATTCAAAAGAGTCGGCAGGTGGGCCTCACTTATGCTGGCTGAACAAACAAAAGAGTCCAGAGGTTAGAAGTTTTGTTGTCTGTTTGCTTAACTTTGCTTTAAATGTTTTTTTTTTTTTCCCTCATAGTGGGAATAATTCAATATTTAGGATCCCTCTGCTGAAAATGTTTTTCTGTTTTATCTTTATAGTGGGAATAACTCATTATTATTCATGGGAGTAGGGGAAGTTTAAATGGGAGTACGCATGTGCAGGCCTGTGCAGTGGACAAAGACATGTGTGGTGGTGAGGCCCATGAGGGAAAGGCACTCATGGGCAGACAAACAAGTAGAGGCCCGAAGAGGGACAGGTGCTAAAAGTTCAAACCAGCCCAACTTCTGGTAAAAAAAAAAAATGGTTTTGGTCAGGACATGAAATGGTAAGTCAATGTTGTTGAATTTCCATTCATTGTATAAAGGATGTTCTGTTCTTTTGATTGTCTTAATAAATGTTTGGATGAATGTTTGATTCTTATGGTAGATAAACTAAAAATCAGAATTCATAATTTTAAACTGTATATTAGGTATGCTCTTGTCTGTTGACTATTACTAAAAATTTGACTCTGTTCTTTAAGTTGCTTTCTAGAAATTTTAAAAAATTCTGTAAAAATAATAACACCTAAAATGAATTGGGTTGTTTATTTACTAAATAATGTTCTTGCTAAGATAAACCCATAAAAATAATCTCTTACTAATAAAGAGTTTACAAAATTATTTTTCTAGTAAATAAAATACAGGTAAATTGTTTAGTCCATATTGTTAATAATTGACTACTTATACCAATGTGTTACTTAAAATCTATAAGAAAGTATCCTGTTTTTAAGATTTTATAAAAATACTCTAAGAGTATTACCTAACATCACCTCTTCAAATCCTATTAAGATTGTATTTAATGCTTTTATAATTGACATATGTAAAAAGGTCCATAAAAATAAAAGCTGATGATAAAATTGCTCAACTATTATTGCTTTCATGTTTTAAATACAAAATGGTGCCTATACGTAATACTAGAGGCTTTAAAAGTACAAAAAAAGGTATTTTGACAAACATCTATCAATGATAAACAGCCTAAA